CATCGTCGCAGGCTGCCCCTTCGCCACGACGATGGTGAGGATTTTCGTCATAGGCCCCCTCGACTCGGCTGGTATCCCTCCCACCGTTTCGCTCGACGTCTACATCGATGACTATGGCTTGTCGACTGTCGGTACTACTTCGGAAGTTGTATACGATTTGGCAAGGGCGGCCGCTTCTTTGCACGATGCCATCGTGGACGACATAGGTGGCAGTATCTCGCACGACAAGGCCAACCTTGTGGCCTCCCATCGCCATGTTGCAGTGGAACTGCGCAAGCGACTGGGAGCTCTGGCTGGCAAGCGAGTTGTTTCTTCTGCAGCTAACCTTGGGATCGATCACACTTCGGGCAGGCCTAGAAGGGCCCCTACTCGATCGAAGGTGTTTCGGGTGCGTATGCTCACGCTCAAGCACAAGACCAAACGACTGCAGAAGATACGACAGGCTTTAGGAAGGCACTCCAGGAAGCTGTTTATCACAGGCCCTCTGCCAGGGTACTACTATGGAAGTGAGGTTCATGGGGTTTCTGATGCTGAATGGGGGCGTGTTCGGCGTGCTTTCGGTCGTTGTATCAGGCCCAAGGCTGGGTCCCGCTCGCTCACCTCAGCTGTCATCCTGGAAAAGGACCCCACGTACTACGGGCCCATCGCGCCCATCCTGAGGTACGCCAAGGAGCTCTGGGGGACCCATATGCGCTCTTTTACGTTTACCCTGTCCTGGCCTGAGCTCCGCACTTCTTGGGAGTCCATATTCCTGGGACCAGGGCCCGACAACTGGAAGCAGGTCTCGGGGCCCATCAGTGCCATGAAGCTTAGTTTGCAGCGCATTGGGTGGTCGATGCCCAGTTTCACGGTCATGAGAGACCAGTTTGGTGTGGACCTGCCGCTCACCTTGGTCAGCCCCGCCCTTCTGAAGCGCCACCTTAGGCAGGCGGTGCTTCACCTTCATGAGCGACGCGCAGGCGCCAAGTTTCTGCCCTCTCTTCCGCAGCCTGTTCGAGTTTGTCATGATCAGGTGTATGCTATGTTGCAATCCTCCAAGTGGACCCCGCGGGAGAAGGGCTCTATGAAGGCCCTTGCGTGCTCGGCTGTGTGGACAAAGACTCGGGCTCGCAGTGCTGGTTATGATCAGGGCGACGTACTTTGTGTGCTCTGTGGAGGTGCCGACGACACCCTCTTGCACAGATTGTGGCGTTGCCCCGCCTGCGAAGATATACGCAAGGAAGTACTAGGGAAGGATGCTTGGCTTGCCCCTCCCCTGGACCTCTCGGAGCAGAGTGACCCCGAGCAGTGCCTACTGTATACCCGTGGTCTTTATGTACACCCTGGAGACTACCTCCCCCGTCCAGCACACGAAATTGATGGTCCTGGTTCTGGGATTCAGGTGTCTTGGGCTGGGGACCCGTACAACTCCAGTACCTCTGTCTGCGGTAGGTTATATGTAGATGGCTCTTGTTTTAGGAATGTGTCTCCTGAGCTCTCCAGGGCGGGGTGGTCTGTGGTTAGCGTCTCAGAAGCAGGAGAAGTGCTGTGTGTTATTTCTGGGCCGCTCCTGGCCCACTTTCCCCAAACTTCTCAAGCTTCTGAGTATGCCGCATATTGCATCGCCGCCCAGTGTGGGGTGGAGGGCAGTCACATCTACAGTGACTGTCAGAATGTGGTTTCCGCCGCTCTCGACCCTATCCCAGCGCGGCTGTCTTTTCGCCGACCGTATGCGGGTTTTATGCTTCAGGCGTTGGGCCCTATCGCCAGTGCTGTCAGTAAGGTCAAGGGGCATGTCCTCGACAGCCCCGACCTCTCAGATGAGGCGAGGGCCCACAAGCTAGGCAATGACACTGCTGACCAGGCCGCTCGCCTCGCCGCCCTGAGGCATCCGGCCCCCGCCCCTGTGGACGCTGAGCGGGCCGCGCGCTCGGCGCGTATTGCGAGGGCGGTCTGCAGGCTCGCTGCGCGGGTCATGTCTCTCTGGCCGAGGCTTGATCTTTCGGAGGCCTCCAGGACCAAGCCCCCCTCCTCCTTGAGGCCTCTCCTCCCTTCTCACTCCTGGTCCTGGGAAGGCAGGCTCTGGATTTGTAGTTCGTGTTTTCGGTGTGCCCGTGGCCCCCAGAAGCCTCACCCTGGAAGGTGCCGAGGAGCGGCCACCATCAAAGGCATCACAGGCCAAGGGCTGCTGGACCATGGGCACAGACCCATCTATTTTGATGTGAATCAGGGAGGGGGCTTGCTTGTCGCCTGCACCCGCTGTTGCTACTATACGTGCGGTGGGCAGGTCAGGAATCTCGGCAAGCCGTGCTGTGGGCCCCCTGACCCCAAGCGCAAGTCCGATCATGGCAGGAGGCATGCCTGGGGCCAGATTTTAAAGGGGAAGCACCCCAAGTCGGGCGCCAGCCTATCGACGGGGCTGGATGATCCAGCGACCTTGTCGGATGGGCCGCTCGTCGACCCGTCCCTTCCCCTCGATCCTGCGCTGCCGCAGCAGGCGCCCGTGCCCGAGGCACCTGCAGCGGGCGGAAGTACAGGCGTGGGTTTGTCTACCCAACGGGGGGCGCGGTGCGAGTGGGGACTGCCCGGCGGTGCGCCGTTAGTGACCCTCGCACCGTTGCTCCCCCGCTCTCGGCACTGTCCTCACTGTCCTCCTCCTCCCCAGGCTCCCATCGAGGGCCCCAGGCAGCTGGAGGGGCCCCCAGGCCATGCCAACGATTTCGAGGCAGAGGAGGAGGCCGTGGAGGCCCTCTTTGCCGACACCCAGGCGCCGCCCGCGCCGCCAGCCCCTCGAGGCCTGGGACTCTCTTCTTCCCCCTCCCCTCCCAATGCGGTGGGCGTGGGGGGCCCCTTTTCCCCTTCCCCCCCAAAGGGGGGGGAAGGGATAGAGCAGCTCCGACGAGTCAGGTTCCGCCTCCAGGAGGAGGAGAGTGCGGGTCCCGTCCGAGCTGCTCGTGCAAGGTCTGCGGTGTCCGTCGACACCGACTGACTTCGGTCCCTGGGGTGCCCGCCGCTTGCGTCGGCCACCGCCTCGGTCCGCTTCCGCCAGCTCTGATTCAGCCCAGGCTGATTCAACCTGTCGGCCTCCCTCCGCGGTTGATGTTGAAAAATCCTCCTCCTCCTCCTCCTCCTCTCCTCCTCCCTCCTCCTCCTCCTCCTCCTCCTCCTCCTCCTCCCCTCCTCCCCCTCCCCTCCTCCTCCTCCTCCTCCTCCCTCCCTCCTCCTCCTCCTCCTCCTCCTCCTCCTCCTCCTCCTCCTCCTCCTCCTCCTCCTCCTCCTCCTCCTCCTCCTCCTCCTCCTCCTCCTCCTCCCTCCTCCTCCTCCTCCTCCTCCCTCCTCCTCCTCCTCCTCCCTCCTCCTCCTCCTCCTCCTCCTCCTCCTCCTCCCTCCTCCTCCTCCTCCTCCTCCTCTCCTCCTCCTCCCTCCTCCTCCTCTCCCCTCCCCCTCCTCCTCCTCCTCCCCCTCCTCCTCCTCCTCCTCCTCCTCCCTCCTCCCTCCTCCTCCTCCTCCTCTCCCCTCCTCCCTCCCCCTCCCCCTCCCCTCCTCCTCCTCCTCCTCCTCCTCCTCCTCCTCTCCTCCTCCTCCTCCTCCTCCTCCTCCTCCTCCTCCTCCTCCTCATCATCATCATCATCATCATCATCATCATCATCATCATCATCATCATCATCAAAGAACCCCCTTTCTGATGTTTCGCGATGGCGCCCGCGCCCCGCCCCGCCGTCGCCAGAGGATACCGCAACGGCTGCGCACAGCCGCACATGGGACATGCTGACGCGCGCTTCGAGGGCGGGAGGCCCTCCGCCGGCCCAGGCGGAAGAACCTCCAAGGGTAACCAGCCTCGAACGTATCCCTGGCCCTAAGATGGGCGAGCAAAAAGCGAGGACAATCTTAGGGATAGGCCCTCAGAAACTGAGGGAATCCTTGAGATCGGCATCGAGGCGAGGTGATGTCAAACATAGGGATAGGGATATGTCTCAAACTGGTAAAAAGGGTGCCCTCCCCCAAGATGCCCAAGGACATCACGCAAAGCACGAAGAACAGTACACGTCGGTCGGAAGAAGCAGGTAAAAACATGAAGTAGGAAGGCGGAGTAAGTTGATTGGGCCCGGGCCCCCCCAGAGAACAACAAGACACGGCAAAGGCGTGTCGGCTCTTGAAGTAGGAAGGCGCTTGAAGCAGATTGGGATCTGGGAATCCAAAAATACCTACTTTCAACGACCAGCGTGTAGGGTACACACCTCGATCTTGTACCTCGATCCGACCGTAGGGGCCCTGGAAACCGATCTTCAATGCCCCCGCTGCCGTCCGCCCGATCCCGGACGCCCCAAGCGAGGCGAGGCGACGCCCCTCTGGGCCTCGCTTCGGCGGCGCCAGCGAGCAGCCCTGCCCCCGGCGCGAAGACAGGACCGAGCACATCCCGCGATGTGTCGTTTCACGACTCGAGGGGGTCTGGGTGGGCACCCCGGACCAGGGGGGGCGCTCCTCCAGGGCTATGTCGTTCCCGTCGTACTTCTAGGGGGATCGACTACAAAACTGACTTACCACCAAATCCTTTCCTCGTCGCATCTGCAGAAAAAACTTAGAACTCCCCGTAGACTCGCGAACCATTCACGCATTCGTCGTAGGTTCGATGGGGAACATACATTCTCTGGTGAATCAATTCTGTAGTCGATCCCCTATCCGAGTACTCAAGGACCACATCCCAGAAATCCTTTCAAGCACCCAGACAAGTATCGAAGCAGCGTCGGCCCGACACGCGAGCGACGCGCCCGACGCGAGAAAACCCTCCAATGTTGGTTCTTCCCTGGTGCTCGAAGATCTGTCTTGTGATCAAGGCTAAAGTGGGTCGGAACATCATAACTCCAGGGGTGCGTTGTGACCAGAACCACGGTCACAATCCAGCCGTGGCCTCCAGGAGGACCTCCCAGAGGAGCGGCGGCCTCTCGGGCTCTTCTTCTCCCCGGAGAACAAGCGTCCCTGCCTCCCGCTTGGGCGCCCAATGGCAGAGCCGGGCGGGGCTCCTCTGGGCTCCGCTTCCGCGGCGCCGGCAGCGCCCTGCCCTCGGCGTCCGCGGCCCAGCCGCGGCTCGCGCACGCCGCCAACGCGGCCTCGCCGGTCGCCAGCCGCCGGCCGTCGGTCGCGGCAGCCGTCGGAGGCCGTCGTCGTAGTCGCCGCTCGTCGCCGAGGTCGTCGTCGTCGTGGTGGTCGTGGTCGTGGTCGTTGGTCGTGGTCGCGGTCGTCGCCGTCGTCTGAGGGGCAACGATAGGGGGGGATAGGCATGGGGGGGGATGCATCGACCTGGAATCGGCGATACATCGTCGATAGATCGGCGACAGGCCCCAAATCGTGAATCCGCACCTTCCTGGGCGGGGTGGGGCGATCGAGTCCCTATCGGCGATCAGTCGGCGATTGGGGGTCGATGCATCCTCCCCTATGCCTATCCCCCCCAATCGTTGCCCCTGATCGTCGTCGCCGCCGCCGTCGCCGCCTTCGGCACCGTCGTCGGTGTCGACGCTCGTCGCCGAAGTCGTCCTCGTCCTCGCAGCCGCCGCCGTCGCCGTCGGTCGTGGTCTTCGCCGCCGTCGTCGATCGTCGTCGTCGTCGTGGTCGTGGTCGTCGCCGTCGCCGCCACGGTCGTCGATCGGCGAGGATCGGGGATCGAGGCTCTTTTTGAGGGGTGCAAAAACGCCCCTCCCCTGGGTTACAAGTGCGTGGTCTGTAAACCTCCCTGGAGCTCCCAAAGGCCAGAGGGCCGCCAGGACGCCGCGCCACACGCGCGATGTGCAGGGTGTACCGTATCAGCCCACAGGAGGTTCAGCGCACAGCGCCTCGTAAACCAGGGTAGGGGCGTTTTTTTACGCCTTTGATCTTAGGCGCTCTTTCGGCGCCTTCCGGGCCTCCCGGGGCCTCCGAGGACCTCTTGGGGCATTCCGGGGACTCTTCGGAGGCCTCTGCCGGTCGCCGTTGAACTCCTTGGGAGGCAGAAAGAAAAACTGGTGTAAGCAGAGGCCCGGGGCCCAGGCGCCGATCCAAAAAAACGCGCGGACCCTCGAAAGGTTCTGCTCATGCACTTTCTCCTTCTTCGATCCTCCCTCCTCTCTCTCGACTGTCCTGACCTTCCAGAGTGCTGGAAAATAGACCTCCAGATTATAAACCCATCCAGGCTGCTTGTCGGCGGCGGGCGAGAGGGGGAGACGAGCAAGAGAAAGCATTCTCGAAGGCAGCGGAACTTCTCAGAAAACCTCGAGCCCTCTGAGAGGTTTTCAGTGTCTTCGGGGAAGGCTCAGAAAACTCTTCATACAGTCGGGGCTGATTGGAGAGGACACGCCAGAGGACACAAGACCCTTCCGAGGGCCACATTTCCACAGGAATGTAGAAGGCATGGGTCGCCAAACACAGGACACCAGGGTACCCTTGATTTGGAAAGGTCGGTCTACTAATCAGGCTCGACTGTAAGGCCGGGGGACTTCGGAGCATTCTGAGAAGGAGTCCTCCTTCTCGCTCCCACCCCGGGCGCGCCGCCGAGCTTGTCTCGGCGGTGGACAATACCTCCCTTCAGTAAAAACTCCCCTTGGTGAAAGCGGCCTGGGGCCGAAACCGACGGAACTGGACCCGCAACAAGGCGACGCCCTCTCGCGGGCAGAAGACGGCAAATTCCTGAATCGACATGTCAGGGCAGGCCTGTCTGTCCACCTCCGAGAGCATTCTGAGAAGGAGCCCTCCTTTTCAATCCCACCCCAGGCGTGCCGCCGAGCTTGTCACCTCGACAGAACTCACACTCCACGTCCTCGTGCCGTGGTGCAGCCCTCCCAGGAATTTGGAGTCCCGAAGCGGTGCGGTGGCAGAGCGTGCGGTGACCTCGACATCCCCCAAGACCTCACCGCACGGTCCGTCCACGCGCGCTTTTGGGACCTCGCATGCCCCCGTCGCCCGAGACATCCTCGGAGAACGGCCCGAGTCCCAGAACCGTGCGGTGACCCCGAATCCCCACCGACTCACCGCACGGTGTGGTCACCACCCCGTTTACGAAGGGGCCCCAGGACACACAAATAAATACACACAAATAAACAGATTCCCTACATTTTCCTATATTTTCTGGGTTTCTGTCTTCCCCCCACTTCCCATCTTTTCCCATATTTTCCTGGGAGTCGACGATGAATTGTGTCTGTGTGTTTTTTCCTCTCCTGAATTTAGAGACCCCCGAAGGAAGGTCGGGACGCCCTCTGCGCCAGGGGGGGGGGGCTTCCCGTCTTCCCGTTGCCCCAGCCCGCCTCGCGAGGCGCAGATCAACACGCGAGCCACGACGGGTCCACGGGGCCCAACGTGGAGACCCTCCGTGGTGGTGGTCGTGGTCGTGGTCGTGGTCGTGGTCGTGGTCGTGGTCGTGGTCGTGGTCCGTCGCATCCGGCGTCGTCGTCGTCGTGGTCGTCGTCAGGATCGGCGCACATCCCCCTTCCCGATGGCACGTCCAGGCGCGGTGGCGTGCCAGGTGCTGGCCGGTCAGGGCTGTCTTGCGAATCTTCAAAGACTCTCCCTCCTCCTCCCCCCGTCGAGGCACTGTGCCGCGGGCGCCGCCAACTCCCCCTCCCGAGATGCCCTGGGCAGCCCGACGCCCCCCTGGGGGTCCCCCAAAACTCCGTTCTGTTCCAAGACGGCCACCGAGGCCGCCGAGATGCCACCACGGCCGCCAAGATGCCACCAAGGCCGCCGAGATGCCCGAACGTCGCCTCAAAAGTCACCCAACCGCCCCGAAAAGACCCCCAGGAGGAGCCTTCGAGGAGGCTTCCAAGGCACCAGAGGAGGAGGAGGAGGAGGAGGAGGAGGAGGAGGAGGAGGAGGAGGAGGAGGAGGAGGAGGAGGGCCGAGGGGCCTTCGAGGAACGCCCAAAAACACTCGAACACCTAGTGCAACCCTGCGCGACGCAGACGACGCCCTGCCGCCCCCTGATGGGGGGACCCGCGGGGGCGGGCGCGCCGGAACGTCGAGGCCAAGCAGACCCGCGACGCGATCCATCCCGATCACCTTGTAGGCCTCCCCGATCTTGTCGAGGAGCTCGGCCCGGCCGCGCTTGGCCGCCTGCGAACGGGGGGCGCGAGAGGGAGGTCGAGGAGAGAGGAAGAGGAGGGAGGGAGGAACAGGAGGAGGAGGAGGAAAAGGAGGAAGAGGAGGAGGAGAAGGATGAGGAGGAGGAGGAGGAGGAAGAGGAGGGTGAGGAGGCAAAGGAGGAGGAGGAGAACGAGGAGGAGGAGGAGGAGGAGGAAAAACACGAACACGAACAAACTGCGAGGCGGGCGGTCGGTGCCCGCGCGCGTCGAAGCGAGCCGCCCATCCGAACACGTCGTGGTCGGGCGCGCGAGTGCTGCAATCGCCCCCGCGGGGCTTGTCGCCATCTTCATTGGCCTCCTCGACGACACACGGCTACGCCGATGGCGCGCGCAGCGTCGCATCTGCCGAAGGTCCCATGGCGCCCCCACGGTGTGACTCCTGCCCCTGCCCATGCGCCGCGAGGAGTGGGGCCATGCCCTCGGCATTTGTTCCATTCGCTCGCGGTGGCCAAGGGGGTTTGCGACGACGCCGCAGCCCGGTGGCCCGAAAGACAGAACCACACCAGGCTGGTCCGATGGGCGGGGCCACGCCAGCTCCCATATCAGTACTGTCCGCATTCGCGGGCGGCGACCCCGCCAACGGGACCACGCCGCCCGCTCGCGACCCGAAGAGCAGGACCACACCGGGGAGGGCCTCGTCGGTGGGCGGCCCAAAGAGCGGGACTGCACCCTGAGCTGCCGACACAAGAAACGGGACCACAACCGCTGAAGCATCGTCCGTCTCCACCTTGGCGCTCGCCCTCGCGACCTGGATCGGCTCCGCATCCCCGCTCGAGATTTGTTGTTCTCGCCCCGCAACTACGGCCTGTCTTAACGCGGGCGCGTGTCTTGCTCGCAGACGTCGTCTGGCATGACATGCTGTGGCCCAATCTCTCTCTCTCTCTCTCTCTGAAGTCGGGCCTGCCCCCCCCCCCTGCCAGTCGCGCTGCCGCCCGCCGCGGCACGTCCGCCACTGGCGTGCCTCGCCGCCCCCTTCGCTGCCTCTCTCGCGTCGGACTGCCATGTTTTTTTGTCGATCGTGGCCGCCTCTCCCACCACCTCGCGCTGCGTTTCGCCCCTTGCGTCTCCTTAGTGGCGCGGGCCTCCTGGACGCTCTGGCCGATGGGGCCGCCCTCGTCGTCGATGTCTCCCTCGTCTTTCTTGGCCATCTCATTCCTCGTCCGTCCACCCGGCCCAGCGATCGGGCTTCCGCCCGCGATGGCAGGCAGCAGCCGCCGCCGCGCCTGCCAGGCCGCCTCGACGGCTGCTCCTCCGGGCACCGCATGCGCACCCCCCCCGGGCTCGCTCATGCCCCCGCGCCGCTGCCTGCTCGCATCTTGCGCTCGGTGTCCTAGGAGCTCTCTGAACTGCCGCCGCGGCCCCGCGCCCGATGCCCGCGGTGCCGTCCCCTCGTCCTCCTCGGCATCCTCTTTCCATCCCTGTCCCTCTCGTCGCACGTTCCTCCTCCTGCCCATCCTCTCCATATCCAGTCTCGGGCGCCTGGGGCCCTCGCGGACCGATCTGGCTCGGCACGTGCCACAGAGAGCTAACGACCCTCCGCGACGGTGCTCTCCTTCTGGCGGCGACGGCGGGATCTCCGAGGATCATGTCTTCCGCGCGTCCCCCCTTGTGCACCCGGGGCGTCGCCATCCCCACCCGGCGGTCGGAGCACAGCGGCCGGGGTGAGGACGCGCGGAACTGCTGGAAGCTGGCGGGAGGGTTCCAGAGGGGGGTTTCTGGGGGAGGGGGTTTTCCAGAGCGCTCCCCAGGGGCCTCGGAAGCTCGTCAAAACGGGGGGTGCGAAGCCCCTGCGGGACCCCTCCTGGAAAAAAAAACTCCCCCAGAACCCCCTTTTGGACAAGCGCGCTCCACTACTCGCAGAGCAGCTGCTCGCAACTGGCTGGGATCCGCCGCGGGGAATCTACAATGCATTACATAAAGGGAGACACGTTTTTTCTGACGTTCTCTTTCGGAAGACATGGAGCGGCGCAGTCAGAAGGTATCTTCAATTCCCCTCCCCTCTTCGCTCCTGCGCGCGCGTGCTGGAGGGCCGTGCCATAGCTACTTTTGTGCAGGCCGTCTGACGAGCCGGCGAGGCCGTCGAAGGCTCACCACAGGTTTGAGATCGTCAATTGTTGCATTTTGCGAGTATCGGCTATACGAAAGAGTGACCCTGGGTAAGAGTGACCTCTGGTGCGCGGCTTCTGGGGGGCCGCGGGGGAGCCAAACCTGGGCGCGCCAGCAGCTGCCGCTGCTCCGTTCTCAGCCATCTGGGGACCCATCTGTGCCCGCATCAAAGGTCACTCCGGCGAAAGGTCACTCTTATTTCTTTGAAGGTCGGAAAGGGGTGTGGCATAAAGGGGTATGGTTCCAATCGTGGAAACGGCGATGTTATCTGCGATAAAAAACATCGCCATATTCCCCTTTTACATGAAATTAGCACCACCCCCCTTTATACCATGCCCCTTTCCTACCTCCAGAATTTCTAGTCGAGAGTAGCGGAACGCGCTCGGTGACCTTTGGAACCCTCTGGGCTGGGGGGGGGGGGGGCGGGGCCGGCCGGCCGGGGGCGGAGGGGCCGAGCCCGTGCGGCGCGGAGCACGCGACGCCGGGGAGGCCCGCGGGCCGCGGGCTGGCCCGCCCGTCATCCAGAGGCTCGCCGTCGCTCGGGCGGCCTCGCCCCCCGTGCACTGTTATTCGGCTTCGCGCGCGCAGCTTTGTCCGCGGGATGGTCCAGAGATGTTCCTCGATGGCCCTCGCCCCCCAAAAGAATCAGGAGAGCTCAGGATCGACTCGATCAATCGGATCGTGGATCGAAATGAATCGCATCGGCGGAAATCGGCAGCCGAGGCGGGAGGAGTCGAAGCGTCGGAAATCGGCAGGCCCCCCTGCGAATATAGTATGCCGCAGACCCAGACTTCTCATGGGGCCGGCAGGGGGCGTACCCCAGACAGGGGAGGGGGAGCAGGAGAGGGACGGGGAGGAGGGCAGGGCTCACTTCGATTCCTCCGACTCGATGCGATGCGATGTCGATGGCCTCCGATTCCGATTCGATTTGGGTTTCCGATCTGGATGCTAATATTCCTCCATGGAGGCCTACTAGAGCCTGCCGATTTCTGCCGACTCCACTTCTCCCGGCTCGGCCGCCGCTTTCTGCCAGTCCGACTCCCTTCGATCGCCGCTCCGACCTATATCGATTCGATTCTGGGCCCTCCAAGGAGAGGGGGGGAGGGCATAGGGGAAAGGAAAACGAGCCATGTGCGCGACAGTAGGGCCCCGACCACAAGAAACCTTCCACAAGAAACCCAACCCTGAGACCTCAGGACGTCCACTGATTTTTCCCCGTCCAAAGTGGGGTTCTTGATTTCTCTGCACACACCCCGAGCAGGATCTCTCCTCCCCCTTTCTCTTCCTCATCACCATCATCACCACCATCATCACCATCATCATCATCATCAACAGCATCATCATCATCGCCACCATCATCATCAAACCTTCCCACACGCACACTCACACACTCACTCCCCCTCGCCGCCTCAGTCGTTCAGATCATCGTCATCACTCACACACTCACTCACACCCACACTCACTCACTCACACACTCACACCCACCATCATGATCACCAGCATCATCACTCGAACACACACTCACCCACCCACTCACTCACTCACTCATCTTCATAATCACCATCATCATCCACTCACTCACCATCATCATTTCACTCATCATCCACTCACTCACCCGCTCATCAGTTCGACATTACTCCCTCCCTGGCTTGAATATGTAGGAAATCTCAAGCGGGAGCTTCGTCTGCGAGTAAATTGTGATGACGTGCGGGAGCCCCCTGCCTATGGATCCCGCACTTCACGTTGGTAATCCGAAAGGGACATCCTCAACCCTGTAATAGCCGTCATTTTTGGGCTCCTGAGGCCTGAATATGTGGGAAGGATCAGGCGGCAGCCCCATTTGTAAGTGATGTGTGAGGAAGTCTCAAGCAGGAGCCTCCCCCGTGTGGCTCCCGCACTTCACGTTGGTAATCCGAGCGGGCCATCCTCAACCATGTAACAGACGTCACATTTGGGTTCCTGGGACCTCAATATGGACGGAGTATCAGGCGGCAGCCTCTTTTGTGAGCGCATTGTGAAGAAACCTCAGGCAGGAACCCCCTCCCTGTGGGTCCCGCGCTTCACGTTGGTAACCCGAGCGGGCCATCCTCAACCATGTAACAGGCGTCATTGTTGGGTTCCTCTGACCTGAATTTGGTGATTCAAGCGGGAGCGTCACGCCCGCGAGAAGGATAAACACGCGCGCGGCGTCTGGGCGTGCCCCTCGTTTTCCTGCAGGCCGTGGACAAGTGCAGCACGATTCTAGGCGACCCAGACGCGGGCCGGCGCCTCCTGAACGTCCCGAACACGCACAAGACGGAGGACACCCGCGGCGTCTTACCGGCACACATCGGCATGGAGGTTCGGTTCACGGCCGTGCAGGAGGAGCTGAAGAAGAAGTTGGGGTTCGTGCAAGAGCAACGGGCCACCATCGTGTCCTTCGAATTTCACCCAGACGACGAGCGGGAGCACGAGGAGCGCACCCCAGGCCAGCTCTGCCGTCCCCGCTAGCTTCCGCAGGGAACCTGGCTGCAGGTCCACGGCTTCAAGGGGTCCCCGATCCCTATCTACACGGAGGTCGCCGAACTGCTGCTGCAGGGTGCCGAAGGCGCTGACGACGGCGGCGAGGCCGAAGTGCGGGCGAAGAGCTTGCTGATGTTCAGGCCCAGCGAGCAGGAACTTACGTGGAAGAGCTCGGGGACGCACGTCGCGCGCCGCTCCGGGTTCACCCTGACACACGAGTCCTACCTGACCCCCACGTTGCCGCAGGGCCAGACGATGCGCAAGGGCGTCACCATTGACTGCGCCAGGGATGCCCGGGCGTGTCACCCGAGCAGTGGTGGCTGCACCTCTACGTCATGTTCTCCCGAGCCACGCGCATGCAGAACATGCCGATCCTGCGGCCGCCCCCGCGAGACATCCAGGAGCGCGGGCCGCTGGCGCCCCTGCGGAAGGCGACCGGATGTTCGACGAGAAACCGAACACCTCCGGGGATGAAACCGAGCAGCTCGGAGCTTGGCTTCGTGCTGCCTCCCGCCTGAGCACCGCGGCGCGCAGCTAGAGGCCCACGGGGTTGTCCCAACGGTCTGATCCACGGGGTTGTCCCGACGGCCTGCCCCCGCGCCCCAGCGGCCCGCGGGGTTGTCCCAAAGGCATGGCCCTCGGGGCTGTCCCACAGGCTTCGCGATCCAGCCGTCGGCGAACGCGCGCGCGCGCTGGCCGAGGCGGCGACGGCGCCGAGGAAAATCAATTTGCTTGCCCCGACCAGGGGGAAGTGGGGGAGCACATGGAGAAGAAGCAGGAGGAGGATGAGGGCGGGGAAGGGGTAGGGAGAGGGTGATGAGGAGGAGGAGGTGGACAAGGAGGAGGAGGAGGAGAAATAGAAGGAGGAGGACAAATAAAAGGAGGAGGAGGAGGAGGAGGAGGAGGAGGAGAAGGCAGAGCAGAGGGCGAGAGGAGGGTGTCCGCCAAGGCGAGGAGGGAAGGGCTAAGGACAAGCCAAACAAATGCTCATGTGGGGTCCTTCCGTCGGAATCATTGGTTTGGGATCGTCGCGCTTTCCGTCGCAAAACCATTGGAACCCAAGAAATCCAGGGCACCCTGGGGGCAAGCAGGGTGTTTCTTGGCATGGGTCTCCACTGTACCCCTCCCACCCGTGACTTCCTGTGGCGCCGCTTGTTTTCTCGAAGGAGGAGGATGAGGAAGGAGGAGGGAGGACGAGGACGAGGACGAGGAAGGAGGACGAGGACGAGGACGAGGACGACAAGGAGGAGGAGGAGGAGGAGGAGGAGGAAAGAGGACGAGGACGAATTGCAGCAGCAGGAGCTGGAGCGAGAGAGCGGGAGGAGCAGGAGGACCAGGGGAATCAGGGGGCGGCGACGATGAAAGAGGACACGGATTCACAAAAGTGGCCCGCGCTGGGACTATAGCCATTCTGAATTTCAGGAGCGAAGCGCCGATCCGAAAATGAGGCCCACGCTGAAGCGGGAACACCATTTTGAAACACCGAGAAAAATCGGATTGACAAAAAGCATACGAGAAATCAGGTTTCGAAATTCTGTGTGAAAATAATGCGAAAAAATGGGGAGGGCTGGATATCCTCCGGGGGGAGTCTGGGAAGATAGGAGCATCGTGTTCATAGTGTGCACTTGTGGAGGAAGGGCAGGCGGGGCAGGGTAAGCGAAGGATGCCTGCATCAGCGGTGCTGCTGCAGCACCACCCTGGCCCGAAGTCCCCTCCCCACGAGTGTCTGAAGTATGGTATCTACGAAGGGAACGAGCGCCCCTCGGGCCTACAATTCAAGCAAGAAGCGGGTTACCCACAGCTGGGTAACCCGCAAACGTATAAGACCGTAAAGTCCAAGGGAGCGACAATCGGCAGCAACATCTTGACATAGAACTGCCCTACATTCAGTCCGCACAATCGCGTAGACGGTCGTGGGGGCACATAGTCTGCAATAGTGGAGTTGAGGAGTGATGTGTCGAGACGGGGCAGGTCACGTGGACAACGTGAAGGTTGCAAGCGCGCGGATCCGCACGGGAAATGCTCGGAAGTAAACGTGGCCATGCGGGAAGTGGGATAAACGCGGAGAAGGGTCGACTAGGGTTGGAAAACCAAGTACGGCTCAGCATGGCATGGCGAACGAACAGTGGCATAAACATAAATCTCGGAGGTCCGCGCTGATGTCTCGCATCGGCGCTGGAGCCCCCCTGGCGGCGCCTCTGGCGCCGCGCCTGGCACGCTTCGCGCGCCAGGGATGGGAGCTCCAGCGCCGATGCGAGAAATCCGCGTGGCCCTCTGAGTTGCTGTGCTCACGTCATTGGCTGTTTCCCGGGAACTAACCACGGCACGGGCCGGGCGAAAGGGGGGGATAGCAGAGCGGGGGTTGAGAATCAGCTCACGTAGCTGATTTTCCCGGCGCCTCCCGGCGCCGGGAGGCGCCCATGCATCGAGGAATGGCCCCGGCGGCGGGGCCGAAACCAGCTGCATGCAGCAGACTTCGTAACCTGAGGTCGGGCCTGTCCCCTACAGAGTGATTTTCGACGCTAAAAAATACTCCAAAAGTAATCCAAACATAATCCAAAAATAATATGGGGACTATGCTTTGAATATGTTTTGACCTTTTTGGATGATTTCTTGGATTAGTTTCAATTTCTCGTCGAAATCATCCCCCCTATGGTGGGCACGCCCGACATGATCGTAACGCCCCCTTTCCCTATCCCCCCCCTTCGCTCGGCCCGAGCGGCACGAGGAGGCTGCCTCCCCGTCTCGCGGGCGACCAGACATCTGGGGACACGGCGGGCTGTCGCAGCCAAGGCCTGCGCGCTGGCCTCTGGCACGCGCGCGCCGTTCCGCCTCCAGCGGGGTCGCGGCCTCCCGACGGCCGAGATCGCCCGATGTCGACCTAAGACTACACTTAAATCGGGCCTGTCCCCCTACAGGGAGAGCTTCGACAAAAAACAAAAAATACCCTAACACTAATCCAAAAATAATGCAAAAATAGTCTGGGGGCTATTTTTTAGTATTTTGCTTACCTTTTTGGAGTATGTTTGAGGTATTTGTTTGTCGAAAATCCCCCTGTAGGGGGACAGGCCCGACTTAAGACTACAGAGTTGCTTCACCCCAACAATGATGCTGCAGCTGAAGCTACGAGAATTACGGCGATTGCTCCGCAGATCTGCGAGCCCTCCACTCCCCAATGCGCGTGCCTGCACTGCAGGGGTCCCAGCGCACATTGAGAGATGTGGCGGAAAGTTCCCGCCGAGTTTGGCAGCGGGCTGGGTTCCCGGGTTGCCGGTTCTGGGCTCTGGTTTCCCAGGTTCCCGGTTATTTCGGGAGCGGCCAAGAGGGGGGTGTCCAAGAGGGGGGGGGTGCAAATCATGACCGGCGGCATGTGCGCGGCCCAGCGGGGGGGCCAGGGACGCAATCAAATAAGAAGAGGCGACATGAAATCTGGGGAAATATCATGGCCCCCGCCATGATATCCACCTCCCCCTAGTCATCACCCCCGTCTTTTCCGCCCCCGATTATTGGTTCCGGGCCGATTTCGGTGGGTTCCGGGTTCCCGGGCTCCCGGGTTCCCGGTCGATCTGCTCCGCGAAAATCATCCACTGCTTGGGCTTTTGCTCTGGCGTGCTTCATCTAGAAAGAGCGCTTCGACAAGAAGATCGAGTTCATGGTATAACCCGACTCTGTAGTCGATACCACTACTCGAAGGGCGCGGCCGAGTAAAACAGGGCTAGGATCGGGATAAATCGCTCCAGAGCGTTCCGGAGCGCTCTCAGAGCGTTCCGGAACGCTCTGGAGCGGCCGCGGCGCCCCATACGTCCTCCAAACCCGCCGATTCGCAGAGATTCCGAGATATCCCGATCCGATTTTGCCCCGATCTTCGCGTCGTTTTACCGAGGCCGCCCCGCGGCGCCGCACTCCGCGCCGCAGGGCGGCGCGCGGGACGCGCGCGGGCCGCTTCGCGGCGGCGCGGGGGCCTCGGCAACGAGCGGCTGCAGGCGGGCGTCCCACGGCCCGGCCTCGAGGCGCCTCGCGGGCCGCCGGGTGCGGGGGCCAGGGTCAAGTTGGGCGTGTCCCCCTACAGGGGGATTTGGGGCGAAAAAAAAAATACTCAAGAAATGCACCCAAATAATGAAAAATAATCAAAAAATCGTCCCCGCATAATTTTTTAACTATTTTTGAAGATTCCCCCTGTAGAGGGACGCGCCCGACTTACGGCCAGGGCCGGGGCCCAGCGGCTTTCCAGCCCGCTTCGGCTCCATCGGCCCGTCTGGGCCTCGGACCAAATCGGGCGTCGGCCGGACTTGGCTCGGGCCTGAGCCGCAGCGGGCCGAGCGGAAGCGCGTCGAAGCCGGAACGGGCCGAGGCCGAAATGGGCCGAGGCCGAAACGATACGAGCCCGAAGCCGAATCGGGCCCTGGTCACCGTCCCCCCTGTTGAGGCCTCACAGATGGGGTCGGAGTAGACGGGGCAGGATCGCGCCGCATCGCCGATGTATCGGGGATTCACTGGCGTCGGCGATGGATCGGCGACGTCGGCGTGAGGAAACTGGGGCCCCACATCGAGCAGCATCGCCAATGCATCGGCGAGGCGGCGCGATCTTCCGAACTCCTCTGTGGGAGGCGTAGACCTTGTCTGACACCGATGAGACGCAAAAGGACATACCAGTACCATGTGTTCCTATGGGGGACGTGCGTCTGGCCCGAGCATATAGTTCAAGCATCGTACAGTGCAACGTTTCTTGGGCGGTATGGCAAGCGCCCGCCACCGAGCATTCCATACGCCGACGCCAGAAGGTGCGTGAGGTCAAACTCTGCACCTGCCCACCGACTCCAAGAAGCGTGCCCCGACAAACTTGGCAGCGCCCATGTGAGCGGGAACTGTGTTTTGGGGGCGGATCCGACACCGTTCTGGCCACCTCGTTCCGTAGCCACTTTGCACAAAATTTAGAAACACCCATCGTGCAGAACTCCGTCCGGCACCCCCTTCCCTGACCCCCCACTGCGGCCGACCGTGCCTGTTTCCTGGATCATTGTTCCGTAGCCACTGTGTACACGTTGTAATTAGAACCACCCACACTGCAAAAATCCGTCGTGCATCCCCCTCCCTGATCCCCCACCGCGGCCGACCGCGCCTGCTTCCTGGAGCTTTGTTCTGAAGCCACAGCGTACAAGATTGAAACCCATCCACCCTGCAAAAACTCGCCCAGCACGCCCCTCCCTGACCCCCCACCGCAGCCGACCGCGCCTGGTTCCTGCATCATTGTTCCGTAGCCACTTTGTACAAGACCCACCGAGGAGGAGGAGGAGGAGGAGGAGGAGGAGGAGGAGGAGCAGGAGGAGGAGGAGGAGGAGGAGGAGGAGGAGGAGGAGGAGGAGGAGGAGGAGGAGGAGGAGGAGGAGGAGGAGGAGGGAGGAGGAGGAGGAGGAGGAGGAGGAGGAGGAGGAGGAGGAGGAGGAGGAGGAGGAGGAGGAGGAGGAGGAGGAGGAGAAGGAGGAGGAGGAGGAGCAACCCTGCAGAAATCCGTCCAACATCCCCCTCCCTGACCCTGCGCCGCGGCCGGCCGCGCCTGGTGCCAGGACCATTCTTCTGCAGCCGTCTGGCACCCAACTGCCCGACCCTCCGCCACGACCGACGCCTCCTGCCTCCTGGAACTTTCTTCCGTAGCCATTCCGCTCTGGTTTTAGGGCCGCCTACCCGACAAAAATCTGTCTGGCACGCCTCTCATCGACCATCCACCACGGCCGACACCGCCTGCTTCCTGGACCCTTGTTTTGCAGCCATGCCGCGTTGGTTTTCGACCCACCCACCCGACACAAATCCGTCCAGCACCCCCCCTCTCTCCACCACGGCCGACACCGCCTGCCTCCTGGAGCCTTCGTATGCACCCATTGTGCGTAATTGATTAGAGCCACCCACTCGACAAAAATCCGTCTGGCACACCTTTCCTCGACTCTCCACAACGGCCGACACCGCTTGCCTCCTGGAGCCACGTTCTGTTGCCATGTTGCGTTGGTCTCAAGGCCACCCACTCGACAGAAATCCGTCTGGCACCCAACTACCCGACCTTCCGCCACGGCAAACGCCGCCTGCCTCCTGGAGCCTTCTTCCGTAGCCATTCCGCGCTGGTTTTCGACCCACCCACTCGACACAAATCCGTCTGGCACTCGACCCTCCACCACGGCCGACACCGCTTGCTTCCTGGACCCTTGTTTTAATGCCATGCCGCGTTGGTGTTAGGGACACCCACCCGACACAAATCAGTCCAGAACCACCATCCCGCCACCACGCCCGACACCGCCTGCCTCCTGGAGCATTGCTCTGTAGACATTCCGCGCTGGTTTTAGGGCCACCCACTCGACAAACATCCGTCTGACACCTCCCTCCCCGACCCTCCGCCACGGCCGACACCGCCTGCCTCCTGGAGCATTCTTCCGTAGCCAACCCATTCAACTGAAATCCGTCTGGCACCCCTTTCCTCGACCCTCCACCACGACCGACACCGCTTGCCTCCTAGAGCCACGTTCTGTTACCATGTTGCATTGGTTTCCAGGCCACCCACCCGACACAAATCCGTCCAGCACCCCGCTCCCTCCACCACGGCCGACACCGCCTGCCTCCTGGACCCTTGTTATGCACTCAATTCGCGTTGGCTTTCGACCCACCCACCAGACAACAATCCCCCCCCGGCCCTCCACCACGGCCGACACCGCCTGCGTCATGGAGCCCTTCTCTCTACCCAGTTTGCGTAAGTTCACGGGCCACCCACTCGACGACAATCCGTCCCGCATCCCCTTCCTCGACGCTCCACCGCGGCCGACACCGCCTGCCTCCTGGACCCTTGTTCTGTTGCAAGTGTGCGATGGTTTGAGACCCTCGTCGTCGACGTCGGCGTCGTCGTCGTCGCGAGCCTATCGCCGTCTTCGCCCTCGTCGCCCTCGTCGTCGTCGTCGTCGCCCTCGTCGTCGTCGTCATCATCGTCGTCGTCGTCGCCGACCTCGTCGTCGTCGTCGTCGTCGCCTTCGTCGCCCTCGTCGCCGTCGTCGCCCTCGTCGTCGTCGTCGCCCTCATCGTCGTCGTCGCCCCCGTCGTCGTCGCCCTCGTCGTCGGCGTCGTCGTGGTCGCCGCCCTCGTCGCTCTCGTCGTCGTCGCCATCGTCGTCGTCTTTGCCGCGCTCGTCGTCGTCGCCCTCGTCGTCGTCGTCGCCCTCGTCGCTCTCTTCGTCATCGCCCTCGCCCTCCTCGTCGTCGTCGTCGTCGCCATCGTCGCTCGTCATCGTCGTCGTCGCCCTCGTCGTCGTCGTCCTTAGTCGTCGTCGTCGTCGTGGTCGCCGCACTCGTCGCCCTCGTCGTCGTCGTCGTCGTCGTGGTCACCGCCCTCGTCGCCGCCCTCGTCGTAGTCGTCGTCGTCGTCGTTGTCGTTGTCGTTGTCGTCGCCCTCGTCGTCGTCGTCGCCCTCATCGTCGTCGTCGCCCCCGTCGTCGTCGCCCTCGTCGTCGTCGTCGTCGTCGTCTTCCTCGCCGCCCTCCTCGACGTCGTGGTCGTCGTCGCCCCACTCACCCTCGTCGTCGTCGTCGTCGCCCTCGTCGTCGCATTCGTTGTCGTCGTCGTCGTCGCCGCCGTCCTTCTCGTCGTCGTCGTCGTCGTCGCCCTCGTCGCCCTCGCTGTCGTCGTCGTCGTCGCCCTCGTCGTCGTAGCCTTCGTTGTCGTCGCGCTCGTCGTCGTCGTCGTCGGTGTCGCCCTCGCCCTCCTCGTCGTCGTGGTGGTCGCCGCATTCGTCGTCGTCGTCGCCCTCGTCGTCATCGTCGCTCTCGTCGTCGTCGCTCTCGTCGTCGTCGTCATTGCCCTCGCCCTTCTCGTCGTTGTCGTCAGCATCGTCGTCGTCGCCCTCGTCGTCGTCGTCGTCCTCGTCGTCGTCGTCGACATCGTCGACGTCGTCGTCGTCGCCGTCGCCGTCGTCGTCGTCGTAGCCCTCGTCGTCGCCGTTGTCGCCAACATCGTCGTCGTCTTTGCCGCGCTCGTCGTCGTCGTCGTCTTCGCCGCGCTCGTCGTCGTCGTCGCACTCCTCGTCGTCGTCGCCCTCGTCGCCCTGGTCGTCGTCGTCGTCGCCGCCCTCGTCGCCCTAGTCGGCGTCGCCCTCGTCGTCGTCGTCGCCCTCTTCGTCGACCTCGTCGCCCTCGTCGTCGTCGTCGCCGACCTCGTCGACGCCGTCGTCGTCCTCGTCGGCGTCGTCGCCCTCGTCGTCGTCATCGTCGTCGCCGCCCTCGTCGTCGTCGTCGTCGTCCTCGTCGTCCCTCGTCGCCCTCGTCGTCGCGTCGTCGCCCTCGCCCTCCTCGTCGTCGTCGTCGTCGTCGCGTCGCCCTCGTCGTCGTCGTCGTCGCCCTCGCCCTCGTCGCCCTCGTCGTCGTCGTCGCCCTCGTCGTCGTCGTCGTCGTCGCTCTCCTCGTCGTCGTCGTCGCCCTCGTCGTCGTCGTCGTCGCCCTCGTCGTCGTGGTCATCGTCGCCCTCGTCGCTCTCGTCGTCGTCGCCATCGTCGTCGCCCTCGTTGCCCTCGTCGTCGTCGCCCTCGTCGTCGTCGTCGCCCTCGTCGACGTCGTCCTCGAACTCCTCCTCGTCGTCGTTGTCATCGTCTTCGTCGTCGTCGCCGCCCTCGTCGTCGTCGTCAAAATCGTCGTCGTCGTCGTCGCCGCCCTCGTCGTCGTCGTCGCCCTCGTCGTCGTCGCCCTCGTCGTCGTCGTCGTCGTCGTGGTCGTCGTCGTCGCCCTCCTCGTCGCCCTCGTCGTCGTCGTCGTCGCCCTCGTCGTCGCCGTCGTCGCCGTCGCCCTCGCCCGCGCAGGGGCGGCGCCGGAAGTAGTCCGCGTGCCGCCGGGCCCAGCGCGCCGCCAGCGCCTCGTGGGCGGCGGCGGGCTGCGGCTGCTGCTGCACCGCCGGCGGCGTCCTCCGTGCCGCCGGGGAGGGAGCGCTCGCCGCCGCCAGCCGCTCGTCGCGCGTTGCTCGTCGATCGTTCGTCGTTCGTCCTGCGTCGCTCGGCGTTCGTTCGTTCGTTTAACGGGCGAAGAAAGGTATGAAATAAACTTTTTCGCTGTCGGGGGCGCCTGTCCCTGGGCGGATGGAAAGTTTTTACACTTACGGTGGCACCGTAGGGGTATAAACTTTCCAGCCGCCCAGGGACAGGCGCCCCCGACAACGAAAAAGTGTATTTCATACCGTTCTTCGCTCGCTGATTCGTTCGCGGTGCACCGCCGACGCTGGCCGCCGTGCGTCGTGCGTCGTTCGTTCACTGCTGCAGCCGGTCGCTGGGTCAGGAAACCTGGGCTGAGGAGTCCAGGGTCTGGAAGCTGGCGGAACACCGCCTGGGGCGTGGCCATGGACATCACCGCCGCGTTCATCAGACAAGGAATCGTTTCTCTATACGGTGAGGGCATTCTGCGAGCTACGAGTCTCGGAGAGAGCGTGATCCACCGCCGCTTTGATGTGGAAAATTCGCCCCCTCTTCCTCCAGAGCCAGGGGTTCCACCCCCCCTCCTCCGAAAATCTCCCCCCGCTCGAACCCCCCCCCTCCCCCAGCAAGAACCCCCCCTCCCCACCCCCACCCCCTCGGAAAACCAGGGGGGGTCACTACCGGTTCGAACACCCCCCAAAACTCGCCGCTGGCAAACGACTCCTGGGTCCCCACCACCGTCCTCACCAATGTCCCCACCACCACCGTCCCGACAACTGTCCCACTGTCCCCACTGTCCCAACCACAGTCCCACTGTCCCCACTGTTCCCACCACTGTCCCCACTGTGCCCCCACCACTGTCGCACTGTCCCCACTGTCTCCAACACTGTCCCCACCACGGTCCCACTCCCCCCTCCTGTCCCCACTGCCCCCGCCACTATCCCACTGGCCCCACTGTCCCCACCACTGTCCCACTGTCCCCATGTCCCCACCGCTGTCCCACTGTGCTGTCCCACTGCCCCCATTGTTCCCGCCACTGTCCCAATTTCCCCACTGTCCCCACCAGTGTGCCCACTGTGCCACTGTCCCATTGTCCCACCACCGTCCTGACCGCCGCCCTCACCAGTGTCCCCACCGTCCCCACCACGGTCCCACTGTCCCCTCACCACTGTCCCCATCACCACCGTCCCCACCGTTGCACTTTCCCCAGTCCCCACCACTGTCCAAGTGTCCCCACTGTTCCCGCCACTGTCCTCACTGTCCCCACCAGTGCTCCCACCACTGTCGCACTCTCCCCACTGTCCCCGCCCACCACTGTCCCACTGTCCCCACCGCTGCCCCACTGTGCTGTCAAACTGTCCCCACTGTCCCCACCACTGTCCCACTGTCCCCACTGTTCCCACCACTTTCCCCATTGTACCACTGTCCCACCACCGTCTTCACCACCGCCCTCACCACTGTCCCCACCACCACCGTCCCCACTGTTATTTCACTGTCCCCGCTGTCCCCACCACTGTCCCCACTGTCCCCTCGCCACTGTCCCCACCACCACCGCCTCCACCGCTGTCCCACTGTCCCCACCGTCCCCACTACTGTCCCACTGCCCCCAATGTTCCCACCACTGTCACCACTGTCCCCACCAGTGCCCCCACCACTGTCGCACTGTCCCCACTGACCCCACCACTGTCCCCACCACGGTCCCACTCTCCTCACTGTCGCCACTGCCCTCACCACTGTCCCACTGTCCCTATTCCCCACCACCATCCCCAACACCTTCCCAACAACTGTCCCCACCACAGTCCCTCATCCGGAGTGGGGTAGGTGGGGGAGTCGTTTGCCGGCGGCGAAGAGGGGGAGGTTCGAACCGGAAGTGACCCCCCCCTTTTCAGGATGCACCGGGGGAGGGGGGGGGGGCGGGTTCGGAACCCTCAGTGACCCCCCCAGTTTTCGAGGGGGGGAGGGTTTGAATCCCCCAGTGACTGCCCCCGCTCGGTTTTCTGCCGGCAGCGGCAGAACACGTTCTTTCGAATCTCGAGTCCCGAAACACAGCGCGCCGTGCCGCTAGCCTGACGCCCCGCCTGCAGGAACCCGTCCTTGCAATGAACTCCGCTGTCCTTCTGCCGCGTCAGAGCTCGACGAACACCAACCTCTGCGGCCCCCATTCCCGTGACGGCCAGCACTGGATGGGGCATAGACGTGGAGCTATCGGAAAAGGAATCCAGGGTTAGGAAGCCGGTGGAACATCGACTGAGGTTCGACCATGGACACCACCGCCGCCCTCGTCAGATAAGGAATCATCTGGGGTCTGAAGCCTTCTGGGCACATTTCGTAAGGAACGCCCCCACCGTATTCGGGGATTCTGGAACGGGTCAAGTGCAGCCAGAGCACACGGAGTCGGAGAGTCGAACCGCATCGGCGATGCATCGGCGGCGGCGGGGCCGAGAAACTCGGGCCCTGGCTCGATCCGCATCACCAACGCATCAGGGATGCGGGGCGCGATCGTCCGATCCCATCCATCTACTCCAGCCTTAGAATGCAACTCCTGTGAGGTCTTCGTGGGAAGGGTCAAGGGCTATTTCAAACATTGAGGGACCATTGAGCAGGATTCGCCAAATCTAAGCGGGATGATAGGGAATCATACGGGATCATGCTGCTCTCCGACCACGGATATGTACGGGCGCCTATGCTGATTGGAACTTCCAACGAATTGCATCCTGGCTGGGGAAGATGATGGGCATGGTTTCCACCACCACCACCACCACCATAAGTTGGAGGGGGAGGGGGTCCGCCTCCTCCTCCTCCTCCTCCTCCTCCTCCTCCTCCTCCTCCTCCTCCTCCTCCTCCTCCTCCTCCTCCTCCTCCTCCTCCTTCTCCTCCTCCTCCTCCTCCTCCTCCTCCTCCTCCCCCCCTCCAACGTATGGTGGTGGCAATGGAAAACAGGCCCAGCAGGAGAGAGAGCCGGAGCTCCTGACGCCACGGCAGAATCTCACGGCGAGAGAGGTGCCGTTCCTCGAAGAGACTCGCCCGCGAGAGGCAGCGTCGGGCCCGGCAGGGGGCCCTCGGGAGCCGAGGGCGCGACGGCAGAAAGGCGTCCCGGTGAGGCTGTCGGGAGCTCCCTGGGGGCCCGCGCCGTGGGCAGAGCTGCGACGTCGGGGAGGCTGTATAGCTCTCTGGGGGCCCGCGCAGTGGGCAGAACTGCGTATAGTTCTGCCCACCACGACGCCGTAGTGCTGCGACCTCGGGGGGGCAGGCGTCGCAATACTGCTAGGATCGTCCCCAGCCCCCCGACGTCGTAGTGCTACGACGTCGGGAGGCTGGGGACGATTCCAAGAAGGACAGGAGGAACGGTTTCCTGCCGAGAGGAGTCCAGGAGCGACCATTTGGCGCCCACGGGGCGGCAACAGGCAGAGAATCTGGATCCGAGAAACTAGTGCTCGCGCTCTCTTGTCCGTCTGCCTGGAAGCTGGGTGCACCACAGGCTCCGTTGATCGATCAAAGTCTCGCCAACAGCAAGTGCAAAAGCTTCAGCCCCGCCTGTTCGCCGACGTTGCGGCCATAATTGCTACCGCTGCTGTGGCAAGCACTGCCATGAAACTTCCTCTTGTCAACAAGCACAACTGGGCACGATGCCGTACGATACCAAATTCCTTGACAGTCCAACTCACACGTAACATAGTTGTAAACAGCAGCTCGGGGAGTTACACACGGTGGAGTAACAATAAAATGGCGGCCGCAGCGGAAGAAGTGCGGCACGACTCTCAGGAGGTCCAGAGAAGTCTGCAGGGGCCTCTGGAGGATTACATAATATTCCAAAAACCTTGACCCTCGATCCTCGAACCCCGTCGTCGACGACTCAAACAGCGCGGGTCCTCTTCCAGAGGAAGCGTCCAGCGATCAGGTCCCCCCTGAGCAAGTACCTGAGCAGACAAGACCCAAGTGCCAGGATGGTTTCGCCGCCTTGCGTACCTCCTTCCAGAGCTAGCGCCGCACCCGACTAACGTCAGGCGCGAGCGACCGTTGGTCGAAGCGTTCAGCGGAGCGCCAACGATTGACTGAGCGGGCATGGCCAAGCTAGCCCGACTCCGAGCGACAGAAGGATTGAACAGGGACCAACCGTTCCAGCGTTCCAATAGGCCTACCACAAAGTGATCTTCTAACATGAAGGTGTTTCAAGAACGCAAACAAAGTTCCTTGAGCATAAAGCCGATGTGGTAAAACAAAGCGATGTCAGCCAGACATGTTCTAAAACCAATGTATGCAAACCATATGCGGTTCTTAGAAGAGTCTCTGGTGGGCCAGCAGGCACGCAAGGACGCCTCACCACTGATTGAAAGGAACAGGGCTACGCCTCCTTCGTCTTGTGCGTATCACAAATTGGATTACCTCCAGTTGGGCCTCAGACGCCTCCAGAGCTCCTCTGAAACAGGCTCCCGCAAATAGAAGCAACACCAGAGGCTCCAGCGCCTGGCGGAACTTCGATTAAACGCAGGAGTGACACTATGCCAGAGTGACCTTTGGTGCGCGACTTTAGGGGGGCCGGGGGTACAGTCAATTCGCACAATAAGAATGCGCGGTAAGGATGCAGGGGCCTTGGAGGGCCATGTTTGCACTTTCGAGCGGGGCTGGCCAGCGAAAGTCCTTGTGCCGAAGGGGCAAGGATGCAAGGTGAACGTTTTCTTATTCGGCGTTTCGACACTGGGCGGAGGGGGGGAGAGGGGGGGGTCTGGCTCCAGACCTCTGCTGAACGCGATTGTTTTCAACAGTGCGTCCTATGGGAGAGACTCCACCTGCCTGAAACCGGCGCCAAAAACAACCCAGATCTACTCCACATGGGGGAGGGGCGCCGACAGGCAAAACAATGAAAGAAAACGATCGCAAGGGTAGCTTCGGAAAGCTGCTCATGCTTACTGTGCGACTTGTCTGTAGGCCAAATGCAAGCTGTGAGCTCGCACATTTCAAAGGTCATTCCCGCGAAAAAAGGGTGACTGCAGCGAAACTGCCCGGAGCTCCCCCACCCCTGCCTGGCTGAAAGGACCCCCCCACACTGAGGATTCTTTCTACGGGGTGCCTCCTCGGAATCCTCAGTAATTCTGAGGGCTTCCTCGGGGACGCTCAGGATGCTCCCCAAAAATGCTACGAGTTTCCTCCAGAGGCCTTGAGAAATCCGACGAAATCCTTTTTGGCTGCTCCGAAGTCCGAGAGAGAGAGAGAACAAAAAAAAACAACAAAAAAGAGAGAGAGAGAGAGAGAGAGAAAAAAAAAAAAAAAAAAAAAAAAAAAAAAAAAAAAAAAAAAAAACGTACCTCCGGCGGGATCACGAGGGTTCCGCTGGGCATCCTGGTGACTTCAGTTGGAGGCCTGGAAATTGGCACCAACACCAACACAGGGGGCTGCCTCCACAGGGGGAAGATTACCCTAGGTTTCGGTGTTGAAATATTTCGGTCACCCTGGAAGCCAGAAAATATGACACCATCACCGAGATCGGGATCGTCTTCCCTCGGTGAAGGCACACCGCCGATCAAGGTGTTGGTGTCAACCTCTAGGCCTGCGAAATTCATGGGCGGAGTCTATGGTTGTGGATGCCATGACAATGGACACTCTAAGAGTCCTATCATTGAATTTCAAGTGTAAAACCTGTTCTAACAATGTTTCAACCATGTTTTTACATGTTTAAAACCTGCTTGAAGCTTGAAACATGTTTTGGACATCTGGGAATTGTTTGGCAGCATGCTTCCTCTCCATTGGTCGGCTTCCACAAGTCTATGGAATTTCGTCGCGCGCACTTCGCGGACTCCGCCGGTCGGTGCCTGGATCGGCGGCGAGCCGAGGGGGGACGCGAGAAGGGGCGGGCCTTCTCAGAGGCTCGGAATGCAGTCGGCCTTGATTGGAGAGGACACGCGAGAGGACACAAGACCCTTCCGAAGGACACGCGAGAGGACACGCGAGAGGACGCCGTGGGAGTGTAAGAAGGCACGTGTCGCGGGGCACAGGACACAAGGGCACCCTTGATTTGGCAGGGTCGACCTACTAATCCGGGCCGACTGTACCCCGGCCTTCCGAACAGTTTTGCAAGCTTGGAGGCCTCGAAATGGGCACCAGCACCAACACAGGGGACTGCCTCCACAGGGGGAAGATTATTCCAGATCTCGGTGCTCGTGGCAATATTCGGCCAGCTTGGGAGCCAGCATATTACCACCATCACCGAGCTCGGAATGTTCTTCCCTCGGTGGAGGCACACCGCCGATCTTGGTGTTGGTGTCAACGTTCAGGCCTGCGATCAGCCCCCCCAGGAGACGCAGAAGACCTCTCAGAAGGCACGAGGCCTTCTGAGAAAACTCCCGCCGCCTTCTGAGCAGGCCTTCCCCTTCTCTTGAGCAGGGACCGACCGTCCCGGCATTCCTATAGTCCTGCCACGAAATGTTCTTCGAACCCAGAAATGTTCTATGAACAAAAACAATGTTCTTAGAACATACGCCCGATGTGTTAAACCAAGACAGCCCCAGCCAGAAACGTTCCAAGAATTTTTCGTGGGAGCCACAACAGGTTCTGAGCACATTGCTTGCTAGGGCTATAGGCACGCTGGGACGCTTCGCCACTGCTCGAAACTTCTCCTTTCCCCCCCCTTCGCGCGCCGCCGACTCGAGGCGCCGCCGAACTCTATACACCGACGCATTTCCCGACCCTGCGCTGACATTCGCACAGGAACCCAGATTCTGGTGTACACGGGCTCCTGGTGTACACATGTGTCGCTGTCTCCCTTGGAACACGGGGGAAGAGTATACGCCGCACCACCCCGACGTCGCCCCCGACCCTGAAAAAAAAGTCGTGGGACTGAAAATCCACCCGCCGAAAAACCACCCGCCACTGGTAATGCACATGTTCCAGGTTGCGACTTCCCCCCCCCCGGAGGGTGGTGCAGCTCGAGGGTGGGAGCGCGCGGTGAAGGCGTGGACCGGATGCTGAAGGCACGCCGGTTGCATGGTTCGTGCACGTTGTTTTTTCACCCCTGCTCACGCACCGTCTGGTGCAAGGCGTACTTCCCCTTCCCCCTTCCCCCCTCGCGCGCCGCCGACTCGGCGCGCCGCAGTGCCGAGGCACGAGGCCCCCCGGCGACGCGACGCGGCCTCCCCGCGCGAGGCGCCCCCGCCCGCCGCCCCGCCGCCCCGCCGCGCGACCGAGGGGCGCCCTGCTAAGGCGGCGGGCGAGGGGGGGGGAACAAAAAGCCGACACCAGCGCCAAGAATGTGTTTTGGAATTCACGAATTGTTGGGTTTTCACGAGGCGAGGGCGCCAAGAAAGCATGTGTTTCACGAGAATCTTTGAATTGCGTTTCGGACCAGCGCGAGCCCGCCCTGGCCGGAGGAATCGCAGAATGGCGAGAGGGCGAAGGCCTCCTCAGGAGGCGGCGGGGGGCTCCTCGGAAGCCCTCGCGCCTTCCGGGCAGTCTATTCCCTGTCTTCGGGGCAGGCCTCTAGAAGACTCCTCAGGAGGCCGGAGGGCTGCCGAGCCTTCTGAGAAGGCTTACCAGCCTGGAACATATCCCTGTCCCTATGCTGGGCATCTCCTCATCAGAATGCCAATCTTAGGGATTCCCTCAGTTTTTGAGGGCGCATCCCTAAGATTGTCATCGCCTTTTGGCGTGTCAATCTTAGGGATAGGGATAAGTCCGAGGCTGGTAAAGGGCCCGCCCCTTCTCATTTCCCCCCCTCGCTCGCCGCCGACGTGCGGCAAGACGCCGCATTCTACCTCAAGTGGACACAGGCCGCGGCGGCGCGGACAGCGAGTCCTGTTCACAATGAACCGGAACTGCTGCTGGCCATCGTACCCATTCTTTCCGTACCCATTTTCAAGCCTGCGCTCAGCAAAGGCCGGCCGTGCATGAAAGAGCCACCGCCCACCTCACGCCGACCCAAACAGTGGGCGGACTCTCTTCTCAATCCGCCAGGCTTCAGCGATCGATCGACGGCGGCGGGCGGTGGCTCGGAGTCTGGCATGGATCTGCTGAGACGCACTGCCAGCAACAAACAACAGGCGACGGCGGCAGGGCCGAGGCGGCCCTGGCGGCGGGAAAGGGCCACCGCCTCCTCCTCCGCCGCCGCCTCTAAGGAGGTGGGCTATCCTCCTGCTCCTCCCCTCCTCCTCCTCCTCCTCCTCCTCCCCCTCCTCCTCCTCCTCCTCCGCCTCCTCCTCCTCCTCCTCCTCCTCCTCCTCCTCCTCCTCCTGACCAGGAGACAGGGCCGCGGAGCGAGGCCCCCGGCCGACGCGGCGGCGCGGCGGCTCTCTCCCGCGCGCGCGCGCGGCCACGGGGGGCCACGCCTCGCCCGTCGCTCGGGCGGCCTCTCCCCGTGCACCGCTCGGGGTAGCATTCAGTCGGGCCTGTCCCCCTACAGGGGGATTTTCCACGAAAAATGTGAGAAACAAAAAAAAAAATGCTCAACAAAAATAGTCGGGGGACTATGTGTTGCATATTTGTTATCGTTTCGGTGTATGTTTGGGGTATTGTTTATCTTTCGTCGACGATCCCCCTGTAGGGGGACACGCCCGACAGAAGGATAGCAAAGGGGGGGTTTGAGAATCAGCTCAAGTAGCTGATTTTCGAGGAATGGGCCCGGCGGCGGGGCCGGATCCAGCTGCACGCAGCAGATTTCGTACCCCCCCCTTCCCTATCCCCCCCTTTCGTTCGGCCCGAACCCTTCGCTTTCGCGCGTGCATTCTGTCGCAGAACGATCCGGAACGTTCCTCGATGGTCCCCGCCCACCACACGTGCACGCGTCCGAGCGGTGCGACGCCTCGCGCGCAGGCGAAGCGCGCGGTGGGGTGGCTGCGACCTGGGCGGCGCGAGCGCGCCAGAGCACCCCGCCCCCTGCAGTCCTGAGGGAAGGCGACTATCCTTATGTCGGGCGCGTCCCCCTACAGGGAAATCTTCGACGAAAAATAAAAAAATACCCCCAACAAATACCCCGAAAAGATACAATATATACAAAAAATAGTCCCCCGATTTTTTTTTTTTTTGCATTTTTAGGGTATTTTTTATTTTTCACGGAAAATCCCCCTGTAGGGGGACAGGCCCGACTGAATGCGTGCCCGCGTTTCCCGGCAGAGCCCCTTCCTCCTCCGCTGCCTCCGTTCCTTAAATCCAGTTTAAGCCGCTCCTCCCCGTCGCACCCCGAGACGTGTCGGGGGCGCTGCGCCCGAGACTTCCCGGACTCCACACTCGAAAGGGCTTCACGGATGGATGGCAGGGCGTTTTCAACATGTGGCTCTCGCCGTGGCGCCGCGCCCAGTCGTTCAGACGTGTGCAAGGAGTTTCACGGATGGGGGGCAGGCCGTTTTCAACATGTGACTCTCGCCTTGGCGCCGCGCCCAGTCGTTTTCAAAGTGTGCAACAGCTTCACGGATGGAGGGCGGGCTGTTTTGAACATGTGGTTCTCGCTCTACAGCGCCGCGCACATACGTCTCAAAGTTTACGACAGTTCAACGGATTCTGAAGGCTGGCGTCCGAGAAATGGTGTTCAGGCAGGATTCATGATTGTCAGGGCGCAACAGTCACGTTGATTCGCGAAGTTGAAGTCCCAGGAACGATTTTCTGACACGATGCAGGATCGTCAGGACGCAACAGTCAAGTTGATTCGCGGAGTTGAAATCCAAGGAACAGTGTTTGGGTACGGTTGGGGATCCCGAACCGTTGTCTTCAAACGGGGCACTGTTCATGCACCTTGGGCTTATACTGGTCCTCCTCCTCCTCCGCTCCTCCTCCTCCTCCTCCTCCAACTCATGATCCCCCTTTCACCTCCGTCCTCCCCCCCTCCTACTCCATCCTGCTCCATCCTGCTCCTTCCGCCTCAACCTCCTCCCTCCCTGCTCCCTCCTCCTTCCCTCCCTCCCTAGATGGGGTCCGAGTAGATGGGGTCGGACAATCGCGCCGCATCCCCGATGCTTCGGCGATGCATTTGCGATGCGCCCGCGACGTCGGCGATGCGTCGTCGACGTCGGCGTGGAGAAGATCTGGATCCACATCGAGCCGCATCGCCGATGCATCGGCCATGCGGCGCGATCCTCCGCCCCGCTGCCCAGCGCCCAAGCATCGAGGACCGTACGGGATTCAGCGAGCTCGACGATTCGGACGCGCGACGATCGATCATGGAATAAAGCACGAGGATCGAGGAAACGCGAGGGTCGAGGAAGCGCCAGAGCGCCGTGGAGGATCGAGGCTCGGAGGGCACCTCTGCGGGAGGCGCCAGCCTCCGGGAACCCCTGGGAACACCTGCTCGACACCTGCCCCCATCCTGCCGACGACGCCTCGGCCGCGCGTGCGGAGCCCTCCCCTGGGGCCCGCTCTCAGAAGAGGCATCCTGAAGGCTCGCGCCGCGACGACCTCGGCGCTGGCTTCGGACACCGTGAGCGATCGGCGGCTCCCCGATGGCGCAGACCCTCCGACGTCGGCCGAGGCCGCGCCACTGACGGCGCTCAACCCTGAGCGCACGCGTCCGGGTCGCCGCCGCGTCGACACGACACGAACCCGTAAGCGAGGCCCCAAGTACAGCACGCCACAAAGGAAGGGATGCGAAGAAAGGGGGCGAGGCATACGCCTCTCCCAATGTGCTCTCGCTTGCCCCCGCCCACCCAGCATCGCTCGTGTCGTCGGAATCCCACGCAACGTTTCCCTGCGCATCCCATTCTTGATGCCCCCAGGCGGCCTGCTCCCTCCCCCCTGCGCTCCCCACTCACTCCTGACCCCCGTCATCTTCGGGACCTGCTCCCCCCCCACCCTCACACCGCGCGACTCCGGTCTCTCCGATCTGTCTCTTCCTGGGGTCCTCCTCCTCCTCGTCCTCCTCCTCCTCCTCCTCCTCCTCCTTCTCCTCCTCCTCCTCCTCCTCCTCCTCCTCCTCCTCCTCCTCCTCTTCCTGCTCCTCCTCCTCCTCCTGGTCGGGCCTGGCTGGCGGGCCCGCCTGCCGGACCCGCCGCCCGCCTCCCTCCCTCCCTCCCCCCTCCGCGCCCCCTGCCCTCCCCGCCCCCTGGCGGCACGGCGCTGCTGGGCCCGCGGCGGCGCCGATTCCGCCGACGCGGGCCGCCGCCGCCGTGGGCGGCACCGTGGCGCCGCGGGGCGCAGGCCCGTGCGGCCGGCGACCGCCGCGCCGCGCTGCCGCGCTGCGCCCCGGCGGCGGCCTGGCCGCCCGGGCGGGCGCAAAGCTGCTGCTGCGCGCGGCGACGGCGGCGGCGGTGGAGCGGCGCCACGTCGTCGTCGAGCCTGCCGCCTGCCTGCGGCGGGTCGCTCTGGCGTCCCCGCGGCGGCCCCTGGCGCTGCCTCCTGCTGCTGGCCCAACGGCCGCCCCCTGCCGCGCCGCTGCGCTGCTGGGCTGCCCCGAGCTCGTGGGCGAGCTCGGCCTGTACAGAATGGCCGTGGTGGCCGCGGAGCACTTCGTGGTGCTTGTGGCGACGGTCGTTGCCGTCGCGTGGCTCGTCGAGGAGTTCCTGCTCGTCTTCTGAGCCGTGGTAGCCGTGGACTGCTTCGCATTCGCGGACGGGGTGTCTGGCTCCTCAGGTGGAGGCCAGGCCCCCCGCGACGAGAGGGACGGCAACTTCCCTTCTGAGGCTCGCTCATCCTCCTCCTCCTCCACCTCCTCCGCCTCCTCCTCCTCCTCCGCCTCCTCCTCCTCCTCCTCCATTCCATTTCCTTGTGAATAACTTCTCCTTGTCGCACCCCGACACCGGCCGAAAGGGCGGGCGGGACGTCTCGCTTGAGACTTCCTCACCACTTATGACCCTGAAGCATGAGCGTTGGTAACAGCTTCACAGATGGAGGGCGGGTGGTTTTCAAAATGAGGTTTTCCCTATAGCGCCGCGCACATCCGTTTGAACATTTGCAAGAGCTTCACGGATTTGAGGGCGGGTGGTGCTCAACATGTGGCTCTCGCCTTCGCGTCGCGCAAAGTTGTTCAAACCTTGCACGAGTTTCACGGATTGAGGGTGCTTCGTTTTTTGTATGTGGCTCTCGCCTTCGCGCCGCGCACTTTCGTTTCAAACATTTGCAAGAGCTTCACGGCTTGAGGGTGGGTCGTTGTGAAAATGTGGCTCTCGCCTTCGCGCCGCGCACATTCCTTACCAGAAATGACGTTGTGGAAAGATTCAAGGCGATGAGGGTGCAACAGTTACGTTGATTCGCGGTGTTGGTCGCGGTGTTGAAGTCCCATAAATGGCTTTATGGCGCGTTTCTGGATCGTCAAGACGCAACAGTCACGTTGATCCATGAGAATATTGTTTTGGGGCAGGGTCTTCAAACGGTTATCTTCCAACGAGGCAGTTCCGTCAGTGGAAAAGAACCCCTGTAGGGCCTATGAGGGAGCTCGGAGGGAGGATGTACCCCAACATCGTTGATGACTCTTAGGTTTGCACTGGTCATCCTCCTCTTCCTCCTCCTGCTCCTCCTCCTCCCCCTCCCCCTCCACTGAGAGAGAGAGGGAGAAAGAGAGAGAGAGAGAGAGAACAAAAAAGAGAGAGAAAGAGAGAGAGAGAGAGAGCATTGTTCCATTCGCGGCGATAACGGGCATTATGGGGGGAGGGGGAGGGCATAACGCATCCCTCCCCCTGCCGTGGGGGTGCGGCACCGCAGACCGTGGTGCTGGACGCACTGCGGCAGTGCTGGGGACGCACGACTGATGGGTGATTGGAGCGTCACGCTATGGGGCGGGCGGGGGGGAGAGAGAGAGAGAGGGAAAAGAGGGGGGGCATGACGCGCGATGTGGTTACGGCCCAGAGGTTAGAGCAAACACTCTCCTCCCCCTCTCCCTCCTCCTCCCCCTCCTTCTAGTCCTCCTCCTCATCCTCTTCTTCTTCTTCTTTTCATTATGAGTAGTAGTATTCTTATTAGTATCATTATTCTTCTTAATATTATTACTGGTAGTCTTATTATTATTATATTATTATTATTCGTAGTAATATGATTCGTATTGCTATTCGTAGGTCTCTTATTAGTATTAGTATTAGTATTATTAGTGTTCGTCTTATTATTCTTCTTGGTATTATAAGTATTCTTATGATTGTGCTTCTTCTTCTTACTATTAATAGTATTCATCTTCGTATTATTATTAGTATTATCCATTGTCTTCTTAGTATTACTATTATTATTAGTATTCGTGTTCTTCTTCTGATTCGTCTTCGTATTATCAGTATTATCCTGATTAATATTAATATCATTATCCGTATTATTAGCATTGCTCTTCTTCTTCAAACTATTATTATTATTATTCCTCTTCTTCTTCTTAGTATTATGATTAGTCTTACTACTATTATTATTGATACTATTATTATTACTATTATTATTATTATTCCTACTCTTCCTCCTCCCCCTCCTCCTCCTCCTCCTCCTCCTCCGCCTCCGCCT